CGACGTCCCGCTCAGATCTGCGCGGTGCCTCACTCCGCAGGACCCACCAGCAGCCCTCGAAAGTGGCGACGGTTTCGCAGATCGAAGATCGCAGCCCCCCCCCCTCAGGGACGGCGAAATCGCGCTCAGATCTGCGCGGTGCCTCACTCCGCTGGACCCGCCACCAGCCCTCGAAAGTGGCGACAGTTTCGCAGATCGCAGCCACCATCGACGGCGAAGAGAGGGCAGGAGGGGGCGGGAGGCGGGAGAAGGACGCGACCGTAGTGCTCTATTCAAAACGAATACCCAACCAAGGAGGGTTGGAAAAGATACTAGACGCCTCAAGACCCCGCAAAGACGGCCCCAAGAAGCCTCCAAGAAACGCCCGAAGAGGACTTCAGCCAGGCCTTCAGATACGAAAGACATGAAAAATAGTATGAAACAATGTCGTTTGATTCAGATGCTATTCGGCTTCAGATCGTCTCGCGAGAGCCTCCTAGACCGCCATTACCCCTCAATACGGCCCAAACCTGCCCCAAGAGAGACCCCAAATAGCCTTAAGATCCCAACAGAGCCCCAAGACGGCCCAAGGGCGCGCCACGACGTACCGATGACGGTTCAACCTTCATCATCATCTGCATTAGCATCGCCACTAGCATCGTCATCATCATCATCATCATCATCATCAGCATCAGCATCAGCATCAGCATCAGCATCATCATCATCATCATCATCATCATCATCATCATCATCATCATCATCATCATTATCATCATCACCACCATCATCATCATCATCAGCAGCAGCAGCATCATCATCTGCATCCTCATCTTCATCCTCCTCATCCTCCTCATCATCGTCAGCATCACTATCAACATCATCAGCAGCATCCTCCTCATTATCATCCTCATTATCCCCCGATCCTGATATCCCCCATCATTATACCATATCCGCCCCCACCTACCACCCACCACCACCCACCCCCATACCCCTCCCCTCCTCTCATACTCCACTCCCCAATGCTCGCACCCCTCCATCCCTCCGTTCATCCCTCCATCCTTCCATCCCTTCCCTCGCTCCCCCTACCACCATCACTCCTCTCCCTCCCCTCGCTCCCCTGTCACCCCCGCCACTCCTCCCCTTCCCTCCCTTCGCCTCCTCTAACATCCATGCGCGCTCTTTCCCCCATCTCCCCTCACCTCGAAGCCCCCTCCTCACCTGCTACCCTTCACCGTTCCCTCTCTTTCCCTTGTCCTCGACTCCCCTACCCACCAATTACATCTCGTCCCTTCTCCTCACAATACGTTCCTCCCCTCCTCTCTCCCCTTCCCTCCTTCCCTCCCCCCCAACACCCCCTCTCCTTCCCTCCCGCACCCCGCCTGGGCGGGCAGCAACGGCAACAGGGGGTGGCTCAGACTCCCTCTTGAGCACGAGGCGGCGGCAAGGACCGCGCGAAGAGCGAGGAGGAAGGCAAGGGATCGGGCCGGGATCGGTATTCCGTTCTCGTCCCAAAGGAAAGCTACGAAGGGGAAGGAGGAGAGGCGGCAGAGGGGGACTGGAAGGAGTGGAAGGAGGCCAGGGGGGGCAGAGGAGAAGAGGGGGGAGATCGGGAGAAGGGGGGCCAGAGGCAGCGGCGCAGCAGCAGGAGGGGGGAGCAGGAGATGGAGGAGGAGGGGGGAGGCGAGGAGGGAGCGGGGCGGGGGAAGAGGGCGCCAGGGGGGGGGACTCGGGGGGAAGAGGTGGTGGAAATGGAGGTGGAGGAGGATGAGTAGAGCTAGGACGAGGCAGGAGAGGGGAAAGAGAGATGATGAGGGGGGAGAGGGGGTTACGGCAGTCGAGGTGCGCTCGCGCCTCATCTGACATCCGCTCCCTCGCTCCCAGCCCTTTCCATGGCGCTGATTTCATTTTCCGCGGACGCATGTCATAGCCGACCTGCGATTCCCACAGACAGATCACGTCATGGCATGCGCAATCGGGAAAAAGGAGAGCTGCGTGCACGGGAGGAGGAAGTGGCGGTTGAGCATGAGGATGAGCGGGAGGGCAAGGATCAGGACGAGCAGCAGCAGCAGCAGCAGGAACTAAAGCGGAAGAAGGAGAAGAGAAGGAGGAGCAGGGGACGGCGGATGGGGAGAAATGGGGGGGGGGGCGACAACGATGAAGAGAGACTCGGAGTCAGAGAAGTGGACGAACAGCAGCAGCAGGAACTGGAGTGGAAGAAACGGGAGGAAGAGGAGGACCGTGGAAGGCGGAGGAGGGAAAATGAGGGGGGACCACCATGAAGCTAGACTCGGATTCAGGAAATTGCCACGCGCTGGGGCGAGAGCATCATTCTGGACGACGGGAGCAAACAAAGCGCCGATCTGAAAATAGATTGCGAAAAAACATGTGGACGAAAATGTAATGTAGTTGAGTCGAAGGGAAGCCCCTTCCCTTCGATCCCTTCCCCGCTGGGGGGGGGTCCCGTGAGGGTGCCAGGGGTGGGGTCCCGAGGGAGGTCCCGAGGGGGGGTCCTGGAGGGTGGTCCCAGGGGGGGTCGCCATCCAGATACGACTCTCCCCCGGGCGGTTCGGGGGCCCAGAAAAGCCCCAAGACGCTGCAAAAGTGCCCCAAGATGCCCACAAGACGGTCCTCGAGGGCCCCGAACCGCTGAAGTATCGGTCCAAGTCGCCAAGGTAGCCTCCAGGCGGCTCAAAAAAGCTTTCCAGAACGCCCCAAGAGGCCTCCAAGAGGACTTCCAAGAGGGCCCCAAGGTGACGTAGCGCGTGTGCCCCCCTACAGGCAGATGTTGGACGACACATCAAAAAATAGTTGTTAAAAAAGATGCTCCAAACTACTCAGCAAATAGTCCCCAAATTATGTTGTAAGTATGTCTGAATATTCCCCCTTATAGAGGCACATGCCCGACTTAACCCTGAGAGCAAAAATAATAGATTTCCCTGCGGCTTTTGAAAGATTTCGGCACTCTCGCCTCGTCAGCTTCCCGCCGCTCCAAGACAGGCCAGGAGGCCCCCAAGACCGCCCCAAGATAGCACAAGAGGCCTCCAAGAGGGCCCCAAAACGACCCCCGAGAGCCTCCAAGACCGCCCAGGAGGCCTCCAAGACAACCGAAGAGGCCCCCAACACGGCTCCAGGAGGGAGCCCAGACGGGGCTTGGGGGATTTCGAGCCATCGGCCTGAGCAGCTCCCAGGAGGCTCCCAGGGGCCCCTGAGAAGACCCCAAGAGGCCCCCAGAGGCCCCCAAGAGATCCCCAGGAAAACCCAAGAGGCCCCGACGAGGTCCCCAAGCGGCCCCAAAGAGCCTCCCAAGAGGCCCCCAAACTACCCCAAAGAGGCCCCCAGAGAGCTCCTCGTCGTCGTCGTCGTCGTCGTCGTCGTCGTCGTCGTCGTCGTCGTCGTCGTCGTCGTCGTCGTCGTCGTCGTCGTCGTCGTCGTCGTCCGTCGTCGTCGTCGTCCGTCGTCGTCGTCGTCGTCGTCGTCGTCGTCGTGTCGTCGTCGTCGTCGTCG